CTGAACCCTTCCCCCTCCCCAGGAGGTATAAGTTTGAGAGATAAGAGAAGACACACAGGACTTTTCCCAGTTAAGGTGGGAGCTACTGGCAAAGTGAAAGTGGTGGATCTGGATGCTTCCACCACAAAATTTAAGGGCTTGGGGAAAGGGACAGACCCTGTTCATAAAAAGTGGGATTTGCCAGTCTTACGTTCTTTTCTGGACCATGCCTTAAACCCAAATCACTCTGGCTTCTCACTGACTGGCGAACAATGGGACCCAGCCCAAGCCTCACTTGGTCTTTGTTTGGGTTCTGGTGGTTCAGAGTGATGTAAATAAGAATTGTCTCAGTTTTGGCCAGAAACCCTAAGGGTCTTCCCCTCCCAGATTGATTTTTTTTTTTTTGACTAGGTAAAAGAGGCCATGCTTTGCCTCGTCCTTACCTAGCCTTAATTACTGAATGGGATGGGTGTTGCCTCAGACAAACTAAGACCTGGGAAAAACCTTAGCTCAAAAAAGGCCAAGGTCTCCCACTGCATCCAGAGCCATCTCCAGTCATCCAGATCTGTATTTGCCACTGGACTCAGGAGGAGAAAGTAAAGCTTGTGACTTTGCACAGCCCTGCCTCACTTAAATCTAATTCACTTACAAGTCATGACATCTCCTTCCTGATTTCACAGTCCTCAGCAAAAACCAAGTACAAACAGCAACGACCAATCCAAGTCCCGAGGTCTTTTGCTCAGGTTTGGGTGGGGATATAGATTCTTTGTTTAGATTGCCCAAGGTTTCTGGTAACTTAAAAATAAATGACATAATCCAAGTTCATTAGAATAGATCCAGCCCCTCATTGTAACATTCATTCTCTCATTACTTGTTAACCAATCAGAGTTGATTATCACTCTCTGGAACACCCACTTTTCCAAAGATATATAAGCCCAGAGCCCACAGCCAGGAGGGTCTTTGGCATTCAAGAGTGCCACTGACCTCCTTTATTAAAATGCTAGCATTATTAATAAAATAACTAATTACCCAAGCGGGTCAGTAGGTGGGTCATGGCCTTAATGCAATCACTTCAGGGGCATCAGGAGGCAGCAAACTTACCTAGACCCAATTTAAGCTTAATTATTATCCTTAATTGATTTCCCTAAGAAAAGCCTTAGCTTTTTTTTTTTCCTACCTACTCTCCTAAAGGGAAAAGTCTAGAAAGGGTTTTAGGCTGCAGTAAATAACCACTTCTTAATATTTTCAATTGAATAAGAAAGTTTTTAACCTGCTCCTACAAGTCCCTTCAAATTCTCACCTAAACCTCTTTTGAAATTTTTACATCACCAATGGCAGCCTGAAATGGCCCTCAGTTGAATTAATTTATTTGAACTATAAAAATTCATCCTCCCTGCAACACCCCCCCTTAGAATGGAGATCTGCCTCCCCCAAAAGAGCCAGGACCCTGCAAATGGTTGCCCAGCAGGGGGCTGCCTTCCTCCATCAAAGAGACTCCCCTTTCCAGGTCACCATTTCCCCTCCACCCAACTTTGCCCATAACAAAGGTGACCCTTGCCAGGATGCTGAAAAAGTCCACCACTGTGGCTTAAAGGCATAGGATAACAATGACTAAATCTCAGAGCTGGAAGGAAGCTTGGCAGTCACCTCATCCAATCCACTCCTGCCCTGTAATTCCTTGACAGCACCCCACCCCCCAAGTGGTCCTCTTGCTGGAAGCCCTGGAGAATGAGGGGCATCTACCACCTCCAGAGGCAGCCTTCCGGTTCTGGACAGCTCTGCCTGAATTGGCCCCTCCCAAATGACCTCTCGGTTTTCCCTTCTAGGTCCAAACAGAGCAAATCTAATCCTCCTTCCAAGAAAAGCCTTAGATTACTTGAAGCCGGCTATCAATCAATGATCAATCAATCAATATTTATTAAGCACCTTCAACGGGCCAGGCACTGTTCGAAGTGCTGGGGATACAAAAAGAGGCAAAAGACAGTCCTTGGCCTCGATGAGCTTACAATCTAATGGGACAGACAACATGCACACAAATACATACAAAGCAAGCTACATACACGATAAATAGGAAGTGGTTAACAGAGGGAAGGCACTGGGATTAAGAGGGTTTGGGGAAGGCTTCCAGTAAAAGAAGGGATTTTCCTGGGGGCACAAAGGAAGCCAGGGAGGTCAGTAGGTAGGGCCAAGGAGGGAGAGTGTTTCAGGCCGGGGACTCAAACAGAAAATGCCCGGAGCGTCCCCATCCTCCTATCACGTCCCCGACCCCAAGCCTTCTCTTCTCCAGGTGAAGCATCCCTAGTTCCTTCAGCTCATCTCCATGTGGCATGACTCTGAGACCCTGCGTCACCAGCTTGCGCAGTTGTCCCGGTCACCGGCAGGGGGCACTCCTGCTACACCATAAACCCAGCAAACACTTGCCAGTTTCCTTTGGTTATTCCATTAGATTGTAAATTCCTTGGGAGCAGGGACAGATTTTTGCCTATTTTTGTATTCCCCGGGCACTTAGCACAGTACCTGGCACATCACAGATGTTGGGTGGTTGATTGGTTGATTGACTGATTGATTCTCCCAGCCCATCAGACCTTCCAGGGTTATAGGGGCTCCAGAGGGCTACAGAAGAGGGGAGTACACACCGCTGATGTCCCGGCCAGGGTTTTCTGACTATTGACCTCAAAGGTCCCACAGCCTTTGACTTTGGCACACCCGAGGGAACAGGGTTAGCAGGTGTCATCAAGGTCGATGTAGGCTGGGCTTAGATCCTCAGGCGGTCTGCCGCAGAGGCCCGTGCATGCACAAGATGTTTCCAGGACACATACACAAACAGGTATGCAGGAAAAGTCGCCTAGGTAACCAGATTCCCCAGGGTTGGGCTGCGCAGAGCCATCTCCCTGGACGTTCTTTCGCTTTCCTCATTCCAAAACAGACAGGTCTAGCAGGACCCGAACCGCTCAGGCTATAATGCCATCCCAGAAGCCCCAAAGCTCCTTGCTTTTATCTACTGCTTAATCTGGCCTTGGACTCAGTCAAACCAAACATCTGTTAAGCACCTACTGTGTGCCAGACACTGAGCTAAAGATGAGAGGTTACGAGGAAAGGCAAAGGACAGTCCCTGCTTTAGAAGCTTAGTCTCAGGAGGGGACAGAACACGCAAACAACTCTATTACAAACAAGATGTAAACAGGATAAATTGGATAATCTTGGGGTGACAGCACTAGTTAATGAGGCGTGTGAACGGCATCTTGCCAAAGGTGGCTGGGAAAGCAAGAGGAGGCAGAGCGTTCCAGTCAGTGATGGAGGCTGCCTTGGGTTTGAGTGGAAAGGGAAGTCACACTGAGGCAGCTTGGGGCCCTAGATAGCACCGTACCTGGAGTCAGGAAGGCCTGTGTTCAAATCCAGCCCCGGAGAGGTGATCCTGGGCAAGTCCCTTAACCCCTGTATGCCTCAGCTTCCTCATCTGTAAAATGGCACCTACTTCTCAAGACTATTGTGAGGATAAAATAAAAATATTTTTGAAGTGGTATAAAGGCTAGCTGTTATTATTATTAGTAAGCACACCAAGCAGCCAATACCAGTGCCTCCTTTCTCCCCTTCCTCACTTGGATTTGGGTCCTGAGCACTTAGCACAGTGCCTGGCACATAGGAAGAGCTCCCTACCCAGGAATGGGGCTGTGACCATCCTGGTGACCCATGAGCGTGTCCTCACTTAGCTGTCCTGGGACAAGTCTCCATCATCAGCCTGCCTGCAAGCTTGGTCGGATCTGCCCGGACCTTGGAAAACCCAGGGCCAGCTCCCCACCCCAACCCCCCAGGATCCTGCTATAGGGGGTCCTGGCTTCCTGACAGAGAGAGGAATTGGGGGTGCTCCACGTCCTGATCAGAGCTGGCCCTCGATCAGTGAGTGCGGCAGACTGATAGATGGATGGATGGATGGATGGATGGATGGATGGATGGATGGATGGATGGATGGATGGATGGATGGATGAAGACAGCTCTTGGATCCAGTGGGCCCCTAAAGGAAAGGGGCAGTTTTTGGCTCCTGCCTCCCTGGAGACGCCCCGGGAGGTACTGAGGCTGCTCAGCGCTACATGGTGTGAGGTCTGGGAGGGACGCCCACCGCTCCACGGGTGGGCGTCGGGGGCTCCTCTGATCGATCAATCCATCGATCGTCTTTACGCCCACAGGCCAAAGCGTCTGCATTGACCAGAGCCTGCAGCTGTGATTAGCGCTCCCCCCCCCCCCCCCCCCCCCCCCCCCGGCCCGCCTTGGGCCCGGGGCCGGCGGGGGGGCGGGCCCCCCCCCCCCCCCCCGCGCCCCCTGCCTAGGGCACGAGTTGGGCATGGGACGGACAGAGGCGCGGACCCCGCACCCCACGGCCCACGCGTGGGAAGCCCACCAGGCGCGGGCACAGAAAGGTGCCGAATGAAGACTTGGGTCCCAATTCCGCCTCCGACCCAGAGCCCGGGTCACGTCTGGAAGTGATGGGAGCCGCGCCCCGATTCTACCGACAGAGAAACTAACCTCCCAGAGCATCACGGCGCCTCTAACGACGCCTGCGTTCCCCGCCCCGGCCGGGCGGGGCGCTGAGGGTCTGCGCGCGCATGGAGGTCCTCCGGGGCTCAGGATGGGAGGGGGGGCGGTGAGCGGGAGGCTCGTGCCCGCGCTGCGGGAACGCGGAGGCGCGGCCCCGCCCCCGCCCGCGCCCCAGGCCGCCTCTCCTAGGCGAGACCCAACGTCTCGAGACAGCCAGTCGCCCCCGCCCTTTTGCTCGAGCAGACTGGCGCGGCTGCCAGCCAATGGACGGCGCCCCTGGCCGGGCCTGGCCAATGAGGGGGAGCGGGGCGGGATTTCCCCCTGCGGCCGTTCCCCGGGATCCGAGGCGGCGGCGGCGGCGGCGTCCGCGGCTGAGGAGGCGGAGGCGGCGGCGGCCGCGGACGGGCGGGCGGGGCCGGATCCGGTTCGGTCGGTGGCGCGCCTGCGAGGCCGGCGGGCGCTCGGGCAGCAGCTGTCGCTGTCGTGGTCGCTGTCACTGTCGCCGCCGCCTTCTCCTCAGCTCGGTCCAGACCCGGGCCGGGCCGCCCGCCAGCTACCATGCCGGGCATCGACAAGCTGCCCATCGAGGAGACGCTGGAGGACAGCCCGCAGGTGAGCGGCCCGCGAGGCCTAGGGAGGCCCGGGCGCGGGGCGGCGGCGGCGGGGCCCGGGCCCCCTCGGCCCGCAGGTGCCCGGGCCGGCCCCCCGCCGCGCTGCTCCCCTCCCTCCTCCCTTCCCCCGCCGCGAGGCTTCGCGCTTCGGGGCCTTTAAATGCCGGGCTCCTCCCTCCTCCCCGCGGCTCCCGGGGGCTCGGAACCAACTTTCCCAGAAAGAAAATGGGGATTTGTTCATCCCGAAAGGGGGCCTGGAGCTGCCGGTCGTCCCCTCTCCCTTCCCCCCCAGTCCCTCTCGCAGCCTCTCCTCTCATTAGCCTTCGGGGAAGGTCATTCGCCCCCTTCTCGGGAGGAGTTTTCTGGTGAAATTCGAACCGTGGTCCAGCATCCCTGTTATCATCTGTTGCAGGCTGTCACTTTGGTCGCACGTGACAGTTTAACGCAGATTCAGTTTATGGCCTTTTATTTTGCCCTGCCCAGTGTTCGGGGTTGGCACCTGCCCTTCCTGTTACTTGTCCTGGAGAGCGCGGGGGAAGCCCTTTACAAACGCCGCATTGGATCCTCCCAGCACTCCCGTCTGGGAAGCGGGCGCTGCGGTTGTCCCCGTTTTACAGACGAGGAAACTGAGGCAAACAGAGCGGCCATGCCTTGCCCAGCTAGTAAGTTTCAGAGGCCAGATTTAAACTCGGGTCTTCCAGATTCCAGGCCCCGTGCTCTACCCCTGTGCCAGTGAACCCCTCCCTATCTTTAAGTTACTGTTCAGCTTAGATTAGTTTAGGGCTTTGTAGTTCATTAAAGTGGTTGATGTCTGTTGCTTGATCCTCATAACCCAGCCAAGTAGGAGGTGTAAAAGCTGTTACCTGTGTTTTTATTGAGGAGAAAACTCAGGTTAAGTGGCTTCTGGAGGCATTCGAGGAAGTAAGAACCAAGACTTGAAGCTGTGATTCCAGGCCAGTTGTGATGCTCCAAGAACGTTCTTTAGGTTGTGCCGTGATGCCTCCATACTGGCAAAGTGGTTATTGGTAGAATCTGTTACCATGGGAACAGTCACAGAAGAGCTGGAAAACAAGATGGGAAGTTTTCAGAGAAACTATTTAAACATTGCCCTTTGACCAAATCTTATTAACCATCTAAGAAAATTATAGGAGTTGGATGCCATTTGGATAGAACAAAGAAACTTTCTGAATCACCTATTTAGAACATTTAGAACATTCTGTATCTAGGATGATGGAACTATGGGCCTAATGGATGGGGGAAGGTCTCGAGGTCATACCCTTTCATCCTCCCTGACGCCACTTTAGTGTTTGGTGATCATATGAAGAGTTTTCATATGCCCAATTCAGGGAATTGGGAATTGGGAATATGCTAGGGAAATGGTTTGGGTTTTTTTTTGTTTTGTTTTGGAAAGTGGTTTGTACAGACCCATTGCCTGTTTGTTAATGTACTTCTGGTCGGCCTGTACTGACATAAGGGAAAACGATTTCTTGAATTTATGTAGTAGCCTGAATAACATTCCCATCAGTTCAGACCTCCTTGGATTCAGTCTACTATTAGTATATAATTTATAATGTAGTATTTAATTAGTAATTCATATAGATTTCTATTATGACTATATGAAGGCAGTGCCGCATAATGGATAGATTTCTGGCCTTGGAGCCAGAAAAAGTTGGATCCAAGTGCTACCCTCTTATCCTGGCTGAATGACTCTGGGCCCCTGTGTTGGTAGAGGAAGGTCTTCACTGGGAGCTCCTGCCACAAATTAAATTCCAGGTCTCTATCCCTGTTGACTAGTCAACAAGCATTTATTAAACCCTCCTTAATAAATGTGCCTTGCCCTGGGGATACAAGTACAAAGATTGAAACAGTTTCTCTTGGTCAGAAGGAAACAAGTATAAATATGAGTATATATTAAGAAGAAATACAAAGTAGTTGAATATGGGTTGGTTTGGAAGGAGACATTAGCAGTTAGAGGGGTTAGGAAAGATTTCACGTAGAAAGTGATACCTGAGCTATACTGCCTCGAAGGAAGAGAAGTATTCTTCTACTCTACGAGGCAAAGATGAGGAAGGAATGCATTTCAGAAATGGAGAACAAACAGCCAGTGAGGAATAGAGAAGGCCACTTGGGTTGTTATCACAGAGTGCAAGGAGGGAAGTAATATCCAATGAGGCTAGAAAGATGGGTTAGTCCTTGTTTGTGGAAAAGCTAAAGAGAGGATTTTATATTCTAGAGGCAATGGGGAGCCACTGGAGTTGATTGAGTAGGAGAGTCACAGAGTTTATGGAAAATCACTTTGGCAGCAGAGTGTAGGATGAATAGAAGTGGGGAGAGATAAGGCCGGGAGGCTTTTGTAATAACCTAGGCAAAAGGTGATCGGAACCTGAACTAATAATAATAATAGTTAACATATGCTAATATTATAATAGCAATAATAATAGCTAGCATAGCACCTTTAAGGTGCTAGGTATTTTACAAATATCTCATTTGATCTTCACATCCCTGAGAGGCAGGTGCTATTATCCCTGTTTTAGAAACTGCGGTAAACAGAAATTAAGTGATTTGCCCGAGGTCATATAGGTACTAAGTATCCGAGATTAGATTTGAACTCAGATCTTCCTAACTCCAGGCCCAGGCACTCTCCACTCTCTCCTTCCCACTCCCTGAAGCTGCTTTACTAAGGTTGTATGAGTAAAGAGAAGTAGTCTCAAGAGATGTTATGGAGGTAGAAGCAGCAAGATTTGGCAATTGATTGATTGGCATTATGCTATACTGCTCACATAGCCAATGTGAACCTAGGAGATGAAAAAAATGGAGAACTGGGTGGGGGGGGGGGGGGGCAGGGAGATAGTGAGTTCAGTTTGGGGCCCCTGGGACATCTAATTTGAAATGCGTACCAGACAATTGGTGATTCAGAACTGAAACTGAGTAGAGAGATGGAGCTGATGACATCACCTAGAGAGGGAGATAGAAGAGAACCTAGCAAAGAACTTTGGGGAACACCCACAGGCGGGTAGTGTGATGTGGATGGGGAGTCAGCAAAGAAAATGGAGGAGAGGTCAGACAGGTTAGAGGAGATGAGAGAATATCCCGAGAGGAGAGGATGCCTAGCAGTGTCAAATGCAGTAGAGAAGGATAAAAACTGAAAAAAGGCCATCCAATCTGACAGATTGTTGGTAACTTTGGAGAGCAGCTTCAGTTGAGTGATGAGGACAGAAGCCAGAATGTAAAGGACTGAGGAGTGAGAGGGGCAGAAGTGCACGTGGCAGCAGGAGACTGCTTTACCAAGGAGTTTGGATGGGAAAGAGAGGAGGGGTAGAGGGGGGTAGCTTAAGGGGATGGTCAGATCCAGTGAAAGTTTTTTAAGAATGAGGGAGACTTGGGGATGTTTGAAGGCTAGATAGATGGTAGGTGGAGAGGCTAAAGAGGGGAAGGACAGGAAAGGAAAGAGGATAATTAAGGTTTCTTTCTGCCAGAGAAGAGAAGAGGGGATAGGATCAGTCACATAGGTACAGTGGTCAGCCTTGGTGATGACCAAAGTTACATTGTCAAGAGACTGGGGGAGAAAAGGGGAATGGGGAATGACATCAAGGGGTTTTGAAATGAAGAAAATGGGAGAAGGAGCTCATGTCAAACAGCCTCGGTTTCCTCAGTTAAGTAGGAGGCTAGGTCTCTGTGGAGGCAAGTAGGGAGCACGTGGGAAACTAAGGCTTAAGGAGGAAGGAGAAGGTTGGGAGTAACTTCTCTGGGAAATGAGATAGGGAATCAGTTATAGAAGACTACAAGGATTGCCATGCAGTTGTGAAAAAGAGTTTAGTGCCATGTATGATGGTGATTATGTGTGGCTTGATCATTTTACTCTTTTATCTTCTAACATAAAAATTTTACCTTTTGATCAGACCATCCATGGTACACGTCCCATGAAAACTGAATAGCTCAGATTTTATTACATTATTTCTATAAGAAAATTCACACTGAGATGAAGAAAAGGAGTTTTTTAGGCTCATATCTTGAACTCTAAATTCAAGTAGTTTACACCTTGGATTATTGGATTTCTTTATCTTTATTTGTGTTGATATGAAAGTAGCTAGAACACAACAGTTCTTTTTGTTTTGTTTTTACTTTCAAAATCCAGAAGAAACAGATCTCATGAGTTAAATATTACTTTTGGAATATTAATTTGTACCACTGGGTTTAGGGAGTCTACTTGCAGTCAGTTATGTGACTAATATGTAACATATCCATTTGTTATTTTAATTAATGATTTGGCATTAATCAGAAAACTATATTCAAAGATTCCTCTATGGAAAGGAGTCGAGTACATGAAGGACAGTAATGAAAGTCATATAATGCAAAGGATCACTATTGATACTGTCAAAATAGGAAAAGGGAAGAATAAACTCAGAACGTGGCTATTTAACTGTCTTTAAAAATTTAAACAATTCTTGGCTTTTTTCCATCAACTATCTAATTAGAGCTAAACTGAAACGAGGAATCTTAATTATTTTAGAAACTTTTTTCCTTTTTTTGAAAGCAATCTTTTAAAATGAAGTTTTATAATTTAGAAAAGAATAAACAGATAATCACAATAAAACAAGAAAGCCACATAATAAGTGCTTAATTGATTATTGTAGATTGATTTTTCTCATTGCTAGGTAACACAATTACCATACTCAGTTTCAGTTTTCACAAACTTGTACCTTAAAGGAAACATTCATTCAGTGTTTTTAACACTAGATAGAACTCAACTTTTGTGAAATCAACTCTACATCAGATTTAATTGCAAAAAAAAAAAAAATCCCAATTTTTTTCCCTCTAACTCTATTTACAAAAAGGAGGGGAAGGGTGCCCTAAGAGTCTGTAAAACCCACTGTTTATGCTCTGGAAGGTGTAGTACTAAGTGACGATGAACTCTGATTACACACCACTAGCTTGTTTTATGATCTTAGGCAAGTGTTTGAATTTTATGTGTGAGAAAAAGAGAACTTCCTCTGTAAAAATAGAGCGCTAGAGGTACGAATCAAATTTACAGTATTGAGGTGGGAATTATGATTATAAAGGAGGTTGAAAAATTATTGTGTAAAGGTCAAGGATCATTATCTTTTTGGTGTTGCTTTCCCATTTTCTCTGCAGTAATCAACATTTGACTTTTTCAAGCAGCAAGAGTGGGATTTAACTAGACCTTGGGACATGTTGGTATAGGTGCTTTCTTACCCCTGAACTATGGCATACTTTGCAAACAGTTTATTTTGCCCAAGTCTTATCATTGATTGTTTTTTAAAATGATAGATTAATAGGCGCTTTCTGCTTTTGATGTCTGTGACCAGAATACAAGCTATTCCTTGAGTCCTCGAAAATACAAATACTATTTCTTCAAATAAATTGTTAAATTCACCCCTTAGTAAATGTAACAAATAAAAATGTAATAAATAAAAAGCTCCTACTGATGAATCTTCTCAATGACTCCCTACTCTAGGTAATAGCTTAGTTATTAGGAAGAATTTAATACTAATGTTTCAGATCAGGCCTAAATTACATTTTTGCTACTGAAAGAGTCAACAGGTACTTGAACTCTACAACATTTTTATTTATATATCATTGTATTGACCAGAAATCCGTTAGAACAACATTTGTGCACATTTACCATGCAGTAATATTATTCTAAATGATGACTCTGAAGTGAAGTCCTAAAGGGGCAGCTGACTTATCCAAAGAAGGTTTTAATTATGTTCATTATAATTCAGGGAGACACAGTTTATATAGTGGATTGCCTGCTGGGCTTGGAGTCCGGAAGGCCTGGGTTCAGGCCCTGCCTCTGACTCCCACTAGCTGTCTGACTATTTAACCTTAACTCACTAATCTACCAGTCCATGCTTTAAAAATTTATTAGATCCATATTGATCTATAAACTTAGTGGTGGATATTTTACTGCAATCTGTGATTTTAAATAAATTAATATTAATATCAACTTAATATTTGATTAACAAGAACATACTACTCCTTAATCATATAGAAAAGTTAATTATAATAGGTTCACAATTCTCTCATGTTTCCACTGTCTAATTTAAAGTTTGTAAAATTAATTTGCATACAAGTAATAAGTATGATTGATGGATGTTTAGATGCTTTTAGTCAGTTTCTGCTGAAAATTTAATAATCTTAAAGAATTGCACATAATTTTAGTATTTGTTCTTAGCTGTTTTCTTCATGGTAATGTTTTCATTAGTTATTATTGATCAAGATTTGTTGTGTGAGATGCTTAATAGAAGGACCTGATGTTTCACATGTTCTTATTTTTTTTTTACACTCTAAAAACTTTTTCACAAACTCTTCTGAAAGCTTAGACTTGAAAAGGTTTGGTTTTTTTTTAATTACAAGCCAAGCTTATAATATTAAGCAATTCTACAGCCTGTTACATTGCATGACTATAGCTTAACTAGAGAAAGTATTCTACTAGTGGTATAAGTTGCTAGAAATCAGCCTACTGTTGCAAAGCATAATTAAATTTAGTCACATATAGACTTTGCCCTGCATCACAAATCAGAATATAATTCATTGAGAAATAAAATGTTAAGGTGATTTATCATTTCAAACAAAAAAGTCCATGCTTTTGATTTTTCTTAAAAAAATAAAAAAGGAACATTTCACAGATAAGTCATTTAAATGTTCAAATATGTAATTATTATTTGAATGAAATCATAGGACTACCTCAAGTTTTTCTAGTGGAAAAAGCCAAAGCAATGCTAAACCAGCCTGCAAAGGTCACAGGTTCAAGGGAGTTTTGATATTAGTTGAGAAGAAAAGTATAAGAATGATTAATGTATCTGACCCATGGATATTATGTAGGGTAGGCTATCCAGTAATACCCCAAAATAATTATATAATAATAACTGTAGTTTGAAAGATCTGTGATACAATCTGTGTAGATACTATCTCTCCCTCCCCCCTCGCCAATACCCCCATCCCTGCTCCCATCAGTGCATTTTATAACCCCACTCTCACAGCTCTAAATGAGTGGTTGTGAGCAAAGCAATTTATTTTTGGTCAATCTTCTGGTAATGAGTTTTTCCATGCTCGGAGAAGCTGCGTTTGTAATGACAAAAGCAGTCAATTACCAGGCCCCTACTCACAACCTTTCCAGTGTGATAGAACCTACCAGAGTTTATGTTCAGTTCCTATAACCTTTGAGAACCTAGGGCCACCTCCACACCATGATGAAGCTCAGACAGAAGAATTATTGTGTCCTGTACTTTTCATTAATGATACTTCTAAATGATAAACTATTTTAACTTTCTTAGTTGTCCTGTAACCATATAATTTATTATTTTTAAGAAGCAACTCAATTTTATTATCATGTCTCAGACTAGTTTTTGTGATTAGAATTAGAATTAGAAAATAATTAGAAAAATAGAATTAGAAAATACTTCTGCTTTCAAGAAGTGAAACTGAAAACCAGAGAAGCACTGACTTTTTAGCCACAGAACCCACATGTAGAGGAATGTGGATTTGATTTCAGAATTACTGAGGTTTTCATATTTAGAGCTCTGGATTTTATATACCTATTTGAAATTAAAATGACTTCTTTCCACTTCTTAATAAATATAAAGTATTTATCTTTGTTTAATACAGACACGGTCCCTGCTGGGTGTGTTTGAAGAAGATGCTGCAGCTATTTCCAATTACATGAATCAGTTATATCAAGCCATGCGTCGAATTTATGATGCACAGGTAAAGAATGAACTAGTCTTAAATGTGAATATGAATGCAGTTTTATTACAAATATTTTAATCTACAGAACCCACGTTTCAGTTATTACCTCATATATATTGCATTATGCAGTAATTAAGATTAAAGTATTTTTTCTGAAGTACTGGCATATTCTGCCTAATTGACTCCACAAAAACATAAGTGAAACAACATTGTAAGAGGTAATTCATTCCATAACATTCCATAGCAACAATGTTCTTAATGAAAGAAGTTTGAACTACAAAAGCTTAAAATTGGTTTTTAGAGAAATGTGTCGTGCCTCACAGACACTTTGCATCTGGTGGGTAGCCAGTGGAGGAGAACAGGAACTTTTATCTGGATGATGGAGAAGAAGGTGACTGTAGAGATTGAGCTACAAGTTAGCATGGGGGCATCAGCCAGGAGGGGTGAACAGGAAGCGGACCTGAATAGGGAAGCAGTTTACATTGGGCAGCGAGGTGGCCAAGCGGATAGAGCACTGGCCCTGGAATCAGGAGGACCTGAGTTCAAGTTCACCCTCAGACACTCACTAGCTGTGTGATCCTGGGCAAGTCACTTAATTCTCTTTGCCTCAGTTTCTCCATCTGTAAAATGAGCTAGAGAAGGAAATGGCAAACTACTTCAGTATCTTTGCCAAGAAAACTCCAAATGGCGTCACAAAGAGTCGGGCATAACTCAACATCAACTTAGAAGGATTAAGGAGTAAAGTGAGGAATCCAGCAACTTTCTGGGAGGATATAGGAAGAGGGGCTTGACTCTTTTCAGAAATCCTTGAATGTGTAGTTTAGATATAATTCAGATGAATGTTTTCAAATGAATTTGAACATTGTTTCATTTTTTCTTTCTTTTTTTTAGTGAAGTAGTTGGGATTAAGTGACTTGCCCAGGGTTACACAGCTAGTTAAGTATCAAGGGTCTGAGGCTGGATTTGAACTCAGATCCTCCTGATGCCAGGGCCAGTGCTCTATCCACTACACCACCTAGCTGCCCCAACACTGTTTCTTTTTAAAAATTCATCACCCCAAAGGGACAAGGCAACAGAAAAGTACTGCCAGCCTGATAACACTGACTTTGAAACTTGAAAAAGTTGTGCTGAAAAGTGTTTTGTTTTGTCCCTTTCTATCCCAGAAGCAGCAGCAGCTAGTCACAGGCAGTTATTGCCGCTCTTTTGCGAATAGGGCTTTTTATCAGTGACCTTCCTGCATATGGTACTCAGTATATCTCTGGATTATGTAACAAATTTGACACTAGTTTGGGCCGGTCTTGGAATGATACTGGAAGGAGGTATAGTAGCTCAGACTTTAGGGTGGGGACTTTTTAAATAATAAGAATAATATTGAAAAGACCTTTTGGGGACAGCTGTAATATTAATTACTGTCATTGATGGTGGGGTATGCCTGTATAACAATATCTTTTACATTTGGAATGCCTGCTAAATGTTAGCTGAAAGAGCTAATAAAATGTAAAGAAAAGTGGTCACATACATTGTAAGTTTATAAAACAAGTGACTCTAGGAGTGGTGAGAGAAGAGGATTTAAAGGTTACTTCATTACATTTCAGTGTAGTAACTAGTAATTAGATTAAGGTTAGAGTGAGAGTTAGAGTTGATTTACTTGGATGAAAAGGGGACAGTAAAACATGAGATTTTGTTCAGAGAGAGAGAGAAGTTGGTTAAGAGAGTAACTGTGAATTTAGATTATTATTAGCTAATGAGATAGAAAGTTTCAGGCAATAATGTTCAATGTGATCTATTCATTATTAGATTGTAAATCAACCTTAATTCTCTGATCCAATTTCTTTGGAGTTAATAGAAACTGGAACACTTCTCCCCCTTCCCCCACTTGCTTTATCTCTAGACTTACTCTTTCATTTATTTCTTTTTAAAGATATTTTCTCTTGCTTTTAAATTCCAGTAATGCTATCAAAATTGATATTTCATATGTATTATTATATATACACCTAATTTTCTGAAAATAAGTCACAAATTAGGGCTTTTTAAAGAGTTACTAGAAGATTTAGAAAACATGCAGTTAAAGGTAGATATTAAGTGATAATGCTAAAGTACTCATAATTCTAAGGGATTTCAGAGACCATTTACTACAATGCCTTCATTTTACTGAGGAAAAAGAACCTGAATCCTAGAGAAGTTAAGTGATTTACCACAGATATTAGGTAGAAGAACCAGAATTCCTGACTCCACATTTAATGCCCTTTCCAGTACACCATGTTGCTAGGTAGTTTGACAGTCCTCACTTTTAACTCTTGGATTTTTGAGTTTTTCTTTTTAATCGTTACCAGTATATATGTGAAAATATCAATACTATTCTCTTTTTCATAGAATGAATTAAGTGCAGCAACACACCTGACATCAAAGCTTCTAAAAGAATATGAGAAACAGGTACAGTATATACCAGTCATCTGGAAGCCTTTTTATTTCCCAAATCTAGAGAGAGTTCTAAGGAAATATTATATAAAATGTTAACTAAAATATCTCATTTAAGGATGATCTTGGAATAACAATAACTGGCATTTCCATAGGACCTTAAGATTTTCAAAGGGTCTATATGCATTTTCTCATTTTATGCCCACAGTCACCCTGTTAGGTAGCTGTTATCCCAGGTATTATCGTCCCTATCTAGCACATGAGGAAGTCATGGGTTAGAGAGATGTGGAACTTGGCCACTTTAACACAGAGAGTAAGGATCAAGCTAGATTTGAGCTCAGAGGTGTCCCCAGCACCAAGTCTGGCACCTTTCGTCATCCTCTGCCGCTTCTCAGTCAGAGAGTGGTAGCACCTGAAGAGGCTCAGTTCTTTCATCTTACAGAGAAGGAAACTGAGGACCAGAGAAATCAAGTGACTACTTTTAAGTCGTGTTTTTTAGTGATACATAAATTATAGCATTCTTAAAATTAATACAGTGTTCTTTTGAGTTTAGTTTTCAGAAATGACTTTGATACTTGGGGAGATGTTACTTTATTGGTGTGAGTGCCAACCAAGAAAGACCTACCAGAGCTTGCCCTCTTCTGGCTTAGCCTTGGAGAGTTGCAGGGTCACCTCCATGCTGTAACGAGATACTCGAGTAGCTCTTTCTTGGAAAAGTTATTAGGATAAAACAAAATATAATCATTGATAGCACAAAAGCAGCATCGTTTTTTAAAACGTGTTAAGAATGGATATTTACATGTTCCAGGAGAAATGAGAGTTTACGCGCTGGTTTCTTTTTCAATTTCACAGCGTTTTCCACTAGGGGGTGATGATGAAGTAATGAGCTCTACTTTGCAGCAGTTTTCAAAAGTGATTGATGAGGTAAATACTTTAATTTTAACAAAACAAGTTAAAATGTGTAGATTTGAATTTCTGAATTTATATGACCTGGTTTCTTTTCCCTTCTTGCTAGCTAAGTTCCTGTCATGCAGTACTTTCAACTCAGCTTGCTGATGCTATGATGTTTCCAATTTCCCAGTTCAAAGAAAGGGATCTAAAAGGTACGGAAGCTAAACTAACTTTAAAATGCTCAGTTCTAGTAATGGTTCTACTTTTGCAAAATGTTTTGTCACTCTCCATCCCTGTCCATGATCTCTATCATTTACTTTAGACTCAAATGTATTGTCAGTCTGTCTACCAGTTTGCTTTTGTTTTTATTTACAGTGTGTGCATACATGTATTTTGAATTGGGCTTCTAGCTGTTGTAGCAATACAGTTTCCTAGATCTGAATCTACTCTTATAGTTTATAATCTAAGACAGACACATTAACATGTGTCTATAATCTACAAATACCAGAATGAATCAGTGCTAAAATTGACAGAAAAGTACTTAAAGCATTTACAGATTAAAAAAATGCATTTTAGGAATAGAATATTCTGTTGTGGTAGAAATTAAGGAAAATTCAGTGTCAAAGCTGGGCAGAGAAAGAACTTAAACAGTTCCTTCCTGATAAGCTTAGAAAGGAATAGTTAACAAATCTAATTTTTTCATGTGTTATCTCCAAGTCATTTTTTAAACATTAGTTGCTGTGTGTAATAAATTAAACAAGGAGCCAGGCCATGCTAATCCAGCAAAGAAGTGTTTTTGAAGTCCATAGTTATTTTAAAGATGGGTAAAGATGATACCATAACTATGTGTTTAGAAATGTTTGTTAGTAATTGTGTTTATTTATATTAAGACTTCTAAGACTGATTAGATATCCCACTCATCCTTGCTTTTCTCACAGAACTACCCCCTTACCCCAAAGTGCTGTCTAGCTAAATCCGCTTTGGAATTTCATGGCTAATCTGGTAAAAAGTAGTGATACTTTCTATTAGTCCATAAAAAGGTCAATTGCGATAGGAATAAATTTAGCATGTTACAAAACATTTTAAAATATGAATGTAGCAGGATGTCTATTTGTATATTAAGCTGGAATAATTCTCAGGTCTGTATTTTTTTTCTCCTCAGAGATACTAACATTAAAGGAAGTGTTTCAAATTGCCAGCAATGGTAAGCCCTACATACTTTCTTTAATCTTTTATCACTAGCAAAAGTATACACATGTAATCAGAAAGCCTTTTAGCCCAGTGCTTTCTAGTATTACAGTAGTAAAGAACTGAGGGAAAAAATGAGCCTAGATTTTTTTTAATTAAATCTATTATTAAGGGTAATTCTGTTACTTAAATTGAAATCTTTTATAAAGTACCATAGGAAAGATAATCAGTAGATTGTGACTTAACACCTCCATGTAGCATGAGGATATAGTATAGTATCAAAACTTAGTTTAATAAGTAAATGACAGGAAATTTACTTCATATTAAAAAAAAATCATTGGCTATGGTAAAAAGCAAAAATGTAATTTGGAATTTATTCATAGTGTCAGAACCTTTTGTTGGGGGAAGTGAGAAATCATGTGACTTTTTCTTATTTGAGGAAAAAAAATACTTTCTCAGAACATTTCAAGTGCTCAAGACTTTTCAAGGTATACTGCTACATAAATCATTTTTGTTTTCCAGATCACGATGCTGCAATTAATAGATATAGTCGACTGTCCAAAAAAAGAGAAAATGACAAGGTTTGATATGTATTCTTTGGGTACTAGGATTAGTGTCATAGTGTTAAACCTGTGTGTAAGTCATAAGTTTGCCAGGTTTTCCTATTTTAAAAGAATAACTAGCAATGATTAAATGAGAATATTATTTGCTTTAATGCTCTTAGCTTATGAATTTCCTATCTTCCCATCAAAATTGGGAGTATTTTAGGGGGCATCTCGGTGGTGCAGTGGATAGAGCACTGGCCCTGGAGTCAGGAGGACCTGAGTTCAAATGCCGCCTCAAACACATAACACTCACCAACTGTGTGACTCTGACCAAGTCACTTAACCCCAATTGCCTCTCACACACACACACACACACACACACACACACACACACACACACACAC